AAAAAAAAAGAAAATACAAAAAATTAAGCTGGTGTCATGGTGGGTGCCTCTAGTCCCTGCTACCTGGGAGACTGAGGCAAGAGGATCACCTTATCCCAGGAGTTTGAGGTTGCTGTAAGCTATGATGATGCCATGGCACTCTACCCGGGGTGAGATTCTGTATAAAAAACAAAAGAAAGAATGGAAGCAGAAAAAATGGGTATTGCACTAGTCTAGGAAGAAAATGATGGTGGTGTGGGAATAATGGAGGGTGGTCAAATGCTGGGTATATTTTGCAGGTAGAGCTGACAGAATTTGCTGATGGAATGCATATGGAATTGAGGGAGGAGGATCTGGGGATGACGCAAATCCCGGGCCTCAGTATCTGGGTGAAAAGTACTATGGAGGCATTAGTGGGATGGGAAAGGTGGGTTTGGTGGACCTGAATCAAGACTTATGTTTTGATCATCTTAAGTTTGAGATGTCTGATGTATGCCCAGATGGAGAAGTAGTAGAATCTGAACCCAGGGAGAAGTCAGCCTGGAAATTAATTAATTAATTAATTAATTTATTTATTTATTTTGAGACAGAGCCTCAAGCTGTTGCCTTGGGTAGACTGCTGTGGTGTCACAGCTCACAGCAACCTCCAACTCTTGGGCTTAAGGGATGCTCTTGCCTCAGCCTCCCAAGTAGCTGGGACTACAGGTACCTGCCTCAGTGCCCAGCTATTTTTTTGTTGTTGCAGTCGTCATTGTTGTTTTAGCTGGCCCGGGCTGGGTTCAAACCCATCAGCTTCGGTGTATGTGGCTGGTGCCCTATTGACTGAGCTACAGGAACCACCTAGCCTGGAAATTTTAGAAGTCATCAGTATTTAGGTGGCATTTAAACACATGAAACTGGATGAGATCACCTGGGTTAGAGAGGCTAGAAAAAAAGACATGGATGGATTGAGGCCAAAATTTGAGGAGTATCGGCCACTGAAATTACTATAGGAAAACAAGATGAATGGTATCTTGGGAACTTATAGAAAAGTAGTTTGGTCAGGCTGGATGAGGTAGCTCACTCTGGGAGGCCAAGGTGAGTGGATTGCCTGAGCTCACAGGTTCAAGACCAGCCTGAGCAAATGCAAGACCTTGTCTCTAAAAAATAGCCAGGCATTGTGGCAGGCACCTGTAGTCCCAGATACTCCTTGCAAGGCTGAGGCAAGAGAATCACTTGAGCCCAAGAGTTTGAAGTTGGGGCCAGGCATGGTGGCTCACGCCTATAATAGCACTCTGGGAGGCCAAGGTGGGTGGATTGCCTGAGCTAACAGGTTCGAGACCAGCCTGAGCTCACAGGTTCGAGACCAGCCTGAGCAAGAGTGAGACCCTGTCTCTAAAAATAGCTAGGTGTTGTGGCCTGTAGTCTCATCTACTTGGGAGATGGAAGCAAGAGAATCACTTGAGCCCAAGAGTTTGAAGGCACAGTTTGAGCTGTGTTCTTTGATACCACGGCACTCTACTGAGGATGACAAAGTGAGACTGTCTCAAAAAAAAAAAAAAGTTTGAGGTTGCTGTAAACTATGACGCCACAGTACTCTATCAAGGATAGCAAAGTGAGAAAGTGAGATTCTGTCTCAAAAAAAGAAGTTTGGTACAAAGTATCACAGAGTAATTTCAACAACAGATACTTATGTTCTCACAGTTGTAGAGGTTGGAAGTCCAAGATCAAGGGGTCAGTAGGCTGGTTCCTTCTGAGGGCTGTCAGGGAGAATCTGTTCCATGTTTCCCTCCTACCATCTTGCTATGCATCACTCCAATCTCGACCTTCACATTCACATGGCATTGTCGTGTGGGTGCACGTGTCTGTGCCCAAATTTCCCTCTTTTATAAACATACTGTCATACTGGATTAGGGCCAACCCTAATGACCTCATCTTAATTTTGATCTTCTGCAAAGAACCTATTTCCAAATATGGTCAAATTCACAGATACTGGGGCTTGGGATTTCACTGTCTTTGAAGGGATACAATACAACCCCCTAACAGACAAGAGACTGTTCCTTTTTATTTGTTTGTTTCTTTTTTGAAACAGAGTCT